CCATGGGTTCAGTTTCCAGTACAAACAATAAGAAATTTGGGGCCAGGGGCTTAACTCAGTGGTTCTGCTGCCTGTCTTGCAAGCACAAGTTCCTTAATTTGATCCCCAGTACAAAAACAGAAAAAGAAAAGGTTATAAACTCCATGAGGAAAAAATTTTAGTATAAAATTTTCCCTACCTTCTGAAAGGCAATTCAGAAAGAAGTCAGTTGTTGTGCCTATGCTTCCTCTCTGAGTTGTGTTCACTGTAAAAGCACAGCAGGAAATCTGTGCATTCAAACATTCTGACCTCCAATTTTAAGTTCTTGATCTATTACCTAAATGTACCAACATTTCAACAATGGATCATTTTCCCTTTAGCTAAATTCTTGCATTTCAATGGTATTTGTCCCAATGTAGTCTGCCCTCACTATCTGTTCCTTAGCAATAACAAAATTGTTGGCCCAAATAGAACTGAGATTTTTAAAAATTTCCTGCAGCTCAATCAGTAATTCTAATAAAATTATAAATTAGAACTCACTGCAAGCTCTTAAACATTGTCTCATCCATTATAGATTTCTTATAAATTGAAAACAAACTATGAAAATGCCAGAAACCCTTTCAAATGCTGCTTCATAAGGGACAAAAAGCTATGGTTCCCTTCTTCCCCAACACCCCGGAACAGTTTCTCCCTTCTCATTGCTAGCCTATTTTCTTATAACTCAGCAAGGAACAGGCAAGGTATTTGTTGGTAAAGATGTTGAGGAGCCAAGACACTCATGCAAGCTGAGTCTAATTACCCTTTCTCTAACTGGATATCTTAATTGTTTCAATAGCACAGAAATTCATCTATGCTCTAGTTGTTCCCAAGGTCCAGTCTCCTGAATTATCACCCATCACCTTTTAATGTCCATAGGCTGAGAATATTGGAGTGCATTTCCTGGCTGAAGTAGTAGAAGCATTCATAATTTATTATCATAGAAGTGGTTTGATAAAAGCCTGTGGAATTATAGGGAGAGTATAGAGCCCTGGGTCAGGAGTCCTGGTGTATGTTAGCCAAGATGGTGACCTTGGACAAATCTTTTCGCTCTCTTTGTCTCAATTTTCTTATATGTGAAATGGGATTATGGTGAGGTTTGAAAGATATTTGCCAAATTACTTTGAAGATCAGATTGTTGTAATTCTATAACATGTTTAATTTAAACAGATAGCTAACCGTGTGTAAACCTTTGAAACCATGTTGACATAGTGTGAGATAAGGATAGAGGAACTTTATTGTGGCAAAAGAGAGAAACATTAGTTTTTTTTTTTTTTTATTGAGTTTATTGGTACATTTAGGGATACAGTACAGTTACATTCATTGTTGGGATCATGTACCTTTACATGGCAAGTCTTGATTCTCATTTTTTTCCCCTTACCTCTGCCCTCCCTTCACCCCCTCCTCCCCTCCCCATCTACAAACACTTTATTTTCATCTTTTCATTCTCTCACATTTTTTTCTTTTCCCTTTTTGTTCTTCCCCTACGTATCACACCTTCCCTACATCTTTAGCTCCTTTCCTCCCATTTCTAAATGTCAGTAATCTTATTAGAATCTTATGCATTGTTGCAGAATATTCACACCAGGGAAACTATTCGGTATTTACACATGTGGGACTTATTTATTTCACTTAGGAGTATATCTTCAATATGTATCCATTTTCCTATGAATGAATCTATTCTCTCGCTCTTTATGGCTGAGTAATATTCCATTTTATAGAAAAACCACAACTTCTTTATCCAGTTTCCAACGGATGGGCAAATAGGTTGTTTCCAAGATTTAGCTATTACAAACTGTGCCGCTATAAACATGGGTGCACATACTTCTCTGTGATATGATTCTTTCAGTTCTCTTGGAAAGATACCCAACAGAGGGATGGCTGGGTCAAATGGAACCTCCAGTCCAAGCTCTTTGAGGTATCTCCATATTGATTTCCATAGTGGTTGCACTAGTCTGCACTCCCACCAACAATAACAAATGTTGGCGGGGTTGCGGGGAGAAAGGAACCCTCCTCCATTGTTGGTGAGAAACATTAGTTTTAAAGACTATTCTTAAACTGTTTCTCACACATCTTCAAACACACCTTCCATTTCCCCCTACAGTAGTATGATCACATTTGCAAAGCACTTTATGTTCACCAAGGATCCCATTTTACTTTTGGTCTCCATATTTTCTTTATACCCATTCCATTCATTAATCTGCAGGTAACTTAGCCCAAACTCATCCCAGGCTTTTGCTTTCTAATTTACTGTGTAGCATTGACAAAGCCATTTTTTTCTAAATTGATTTTCTTCTTTGTAAAAGAGGATGAATCTCCTTGCTCCCCTACATCGTGCTTGTGATAATAAAAGAATTAATTATACATATAGCTATCAGCATAGTAGATCTGGATATACATGTCAGATGCTTTCTTATGCTTCTTCTTTTCACTAATCTCTTACAGGACATGGTAGGATCCAGCTCTTGGTTCTGGATCCACAGCTATGGAGACCAACCAACACAGTACTGTTAAAATGCCACCTAGTGTTATTATAAGATCAGGACATTTAATACTACCAGAAAAAAAAAAAGGTTAGGCTAGATAATTTCCTGGGTCTGAGAGTTATTGTGTCTTGGATCCAAAGAAGAGAAAGGACTCAATTCCTTTTTTGGAGGACATTCAAAGTGTGTGAACATATACAATGACCTGTGAGTCATATTCCATACACTTTTCTTGAGTTCCTACTATAAAATGCCAAGTCCTGCACTTAGCACCATCATGGGGATGATCTCATTAATTCTTCACAACAGTCTTTTTTGGATGGAGCTCACTAGTTCCATGTTTTCATATGAGGAAACTGAGTTTCACAAAAATTGAAGTGCCATCAGATAGAACTCTGACTCATCTTTACTTTGGAGTGAGTCAAACTCCTTTGTGAAAAGCCTAGCTCTCTGGGCCTATTTATCCTTTTGAAGTAAGCAAGATGCTCTGGTCTCCTGCAGTCATTCTCAACTTTGCTTTCAGTATCACCTCCCTAAGATATTCTCTATCTTTACCACTCCTGCGTTTTTAAAATTATTTTATTTTATGAGGTAGGGTTATAGCTGGGTTGTAGTATGTACATTTAACATAAATGAGGGCTTGGTTCAATCCTCAGCTCACCAAAATTATTTTAATATAATTCTACATTACTTAAAACATAGAAAAATGTAGGGAAATTTTGGGAACAGGCAGGGAAAGATAAGGGTCTTAATGAGGTTTCTGGCAAATCCTGACTGGAAAGAGTTAAACTCCTGATAGAAAGAGAGCAGTTAAGACAAGGAGGGGGAACTAACAATCAGCCTGACTTGCTTTGGTGCCAGGGCCTCTATTCACTTCTCTCCATCTCCAGTTAAGTACAAGGAAAGAAAGTGGGGAGGGAGTTATATTATAGAAAATTCACTTATTGTATAAAATATATGCTTACATCTAAACACACAGACTGACAGACAGACACACACACACACACACACACATATATAATTATACTCTCACCATGTTACTAGACTAAAATGTACATGTTCCTCTATACTAATTGCTAACTCAGGCTTGAATATAAGGTTCTGCTATAAATCTCAGAGACACTACCTGACAAAATAAAAGGACCTTACCCAATAAAGTCAGTGGCCATTTCAGGATCTTGGGGTCTAAAATAACCAATCAAGTTATAACAACTCCCCAAGGGGAGAGTCCCTTTCTTGCCATGTAATAAAAAGGGCTAAGAAAAAAGACCCTCCAGCACCAGCTCTCTGCTCCCTACTTTACATTGACAAGATAGCTGTCGCTTTCTTCATTTCTCTTCTCTTTTCAATAAAATGATTTTGTTTCTCCTAAACTTACATCTTTAATTTGTTACTAGTATAATGTTACAAACCCCAGATAAAACCTAGATTCACTCCAGACATGACATAAAAGCTTAATTCTTATTGGATGTGTGTGAACATAGGATTAAATCCAAATTCTTTAGTTTGACATTGAAGTATTTCATAGTAAGTATATCTCCAACGTATCTTTTTTAGATGCATCTCCCACTTCCTTTTCTCACCTCCACATACTATGCAAGAGCTTATGCCCCAGACACCCTGACCCACTTGTCTTTTTCTTGCCCTGTGAGCTATATAGGAATTGCGCTATACGGAGCACCTATGTGTTGTATGGAACGCCTATTCTCCTCTATGATCTGGAAAATTCTTAGCTATCTTTTGAGCACTATCTACATATTCTCAGCCCACGTTATACCTTATCTATTCCTATATTATATTTCACTGCGCTGTGCTTAATGGGTTACTTTTCTGCTTCTCAAAGGCAAGGACTTGCTTTTATTTTGTCTCTTCCAGTGTCTCCCTCAGTAGTTCTTTCGTTGACTGGAAAATTCTAAGCTCAATATCGTAAAAAATATTTTATTTTAGTAGTGCATATCAGTAACTGTTGAATGGGTGGGCAGTTGGAAGGAAAGTGGTCTCTCCCTCTTTCAACTCTAATTTCCCCAGTTTTTGCAGCAGTTTCCTTCTTCCCTCCTCTTTCCCACTTTCATTCTAAAAAGCAATTCGTCCTCAGGCATCAGCTAGAACACTAGACAGCTCAGAGGCTAATGCCCCAGCATCGTTTCTCTTCAGACTCAAGGCTTTGAGTAACTAGTGATTTCTGGTAACTTTTCGCGGGGTAGGTAGGCATAAGGGCCCCCAGAGGGGAATGAAAAGGATATGTCTCTCGTCTTTCCAGTTACCTTCGGGAAAAAAAATCCCCCATTTTCCCTCATATAGGGCTGAGGATATCCACATTCTCTTGCACTCCTCACAACCTTTGATAAATTGATTTAAAGTACGCTGCAGGAAGAAAAACAGGCATGTCTCGCTTAGCCTTATGGGAGTTGTAGTCCTATAGGACGGCAGGCTGCCAGGCTAGCCCTGGAGGTGCGGACTACATCTCCCAGGCCTTCTCTAAGTCTCTACCGCACAGACTCAGAGCCCCAAGCTGGGAGGTGGCTACATTGTATCTTTTGTATCCCTTGGCTAGTGTATTTGTACATTGCTCCTGACAAGAAATTGAGGGCGAAAAGCATGGCAGATGAGCAAGAAATCATGTGCAAATTGGAAAGCATTAAAGAGATCAGGTAAGTAGCAGGTGGTAGCACACTCCATTCCTCCTCGAGTCTCCCAAAATCCCTCGCTGAGGGAGAAGGCTGTTACCTATCTATTGTTGAGCTAAGTTGCGGAGGGGAGCAGGAAAGGGGCTGCTTCATCACAGTCTCTTAGGTTAGTTTTGGATTGCGGAAAGCTACAGACAAAACTGAGAGGAGGGAGGAAAAGAGGGAAGGAGGAAGAAAGAGACAGCGAGAGCGGTTTTGATAGATTTGGCCGAGAAAGAGCAGGCAGAGGGACTGGTCCCAATAAACTGGGAGTCAGGGTCGGGATTTACAGATGCATTTTTTAAAAAGTACTTGTTAATTCCAGCTGCCCTAGCACCTTGCTCTTTAGGAGTCGAAGAACCCCGTGTGTGTGTGTGTGTGTGTGTGTGTGTGTGTGTCCAACTCCGGTTCAACCTCGGGACGAAGCTCAGGAAAACCTTTTCAGAGCCGAGTCTATTGGATCCCGGCTGCCAGTAGCTGCAGGGCGGGGTCTGCAAAGGAATCCCAGTGAACACAAGGTAGAAGGATGTCAGGGGCTCGGTTTCTTTTTATCCACTTGCCATTTTCATCTGGTCGCATTTGGTGTGGGTGGGGTGAAAGGGGAATGGAACCTATGGAGACTAAGGATACTAGTAGCTGCATTGATGGTGAGTTCGATACAGCAGCTCTGAAGAGCTGAAGATGAAGGTCAGGCTGGCAGAGTGGGAGTTGCCAGTCTGCCACACTACCCTCAGAGCAGCTTTGGCGACGCATTGATGTCTTTGCTCAGAGTACAGTGGCCCCTGACAGATCTGATTAGGTAGGCAGGCCTTTCTTCACCTATTCTACTCCACCTGGGTCCCTGCTCCCACTTTCTTTCTGAGAATGGCCTGCATCAGGCTGTCTCTCTTTCTTTGCAATGTTCTTCAGAAACCCGAGAGGGAAAGGTGGAAGATATCAAACGTGTCTGTTTAGTAAGTAAGACCATAAGATTTAACCATAACACATTTGACAGATTTAACCCCTGGAGTGCCTGAGCGCACATGGTGTGGTGGGGAAGCACCTACATTTCTTCCTCTGAAGGGGTTGTTTTTCCTTCTGTAGGAGAGGAAAAGGAAGATAATTGTCATTAATTGATCTTCCGGTGATCTACCCACACTTATTTCTGCAATAGCCCTTTAACTTTCCTATTCCTCCTTTACAGTTTGGGAAAGTGGAGGCTCAGAGTATTTGAATAAGTTTCCCAGAGCCACACAATTCGAACATGCCACATTTTTTACAGGAAACTAGTCTATCTACTTAAAGAGATCCTATCCTTCCCACCCTCTCCCATAAAAGAGCTGGAGATGTATATGTGTATGTGTATATGGGAGGTAGGGTAGATCATGATGCAGTTTTTTTTTCCTACAAAAACATTAAGAGATAGAGAGTGAGACATCTTGCTGCAGGAGAATGTCATAGAAATGCCAATAATATGAAGCTTAGGCCTGTAAGTCTGCTACTCCTATTGGGTTTTAAAGGAAGCCTATCATATTCCCAGAAAAAAAAATTTAAAACTGTGGCAGCAAGGAATTTCAAACCCATTGAAAATATACCTCTCCCAATGGAAAACACCTGGGGAATGAAACCTCTGCCTTTACAAGTGGTAACCAGGAGTTTCTACCCTAACTGGCTTGGATGGCATCAGTAGGGGTTTAGAAAGAAGGGTGAATACCCATGCCTAACCAGCAGCAATAAAGACATGCCACCTTGAATATCAAGAGAGACCCGATAGACAAACTGGACTTCTGCCCACTTCCAACTAGGAGAGAATCAGAGGAGGTCTGCTAAAACAAAAGATTTAAATAAGATCCAGTCTCCAACTTTTAGTGAAAAAGTAAACATTTGCCATACGAAGATATCAACGTGAATGAAAAGAGAAAACATATAGATGCTAATACTGAGATGGCAGAGATATTAGAATTATCTGACAAGGGCTTTGAAATACTCATAATAAAAATTCTTCAATGAGCAATTAAAACACACGAAGCAAATGACAAAAGAGAAAATCACGTCAAGTAAGTAAAAAGTCTCAACAACAGCAACAACAAAATTTTTTAAAAGCCATGAAATTTTTATAACTGAAAAGTAAACTACCTTCCTAAAAACTCAAAAGATTGTCTCAATAGCAAGGTGATAAAGACAAATAAAAATCAGTGGTTTACTTTGAGACTATTACAAAAACTTTAACATTCATGCCAACAGATTCCCAGGATAAGGAGGAGAAGAATGCAAAAGAACTTGAAGAAATAATGGCTAAAACTCCACAAATTCCATGAAAGGCACTTTACAGATTAATGAAGGGGAGAAAGCACCAACAGAATCAACAAAAAGAAGTCCATATTATGAGTAGAATGAAAGAGAAATAGAATCTTGAAGGAAAGGCAACCAAAGAGAAACAAAACCTAACCAATCCCTACAAAAGAGAAATATTAGAATGACAGATTTCTCCTCAGAAAACTACAAAACTCTAGCAGGAAGTAGGACATTTTTCAAGTGCTAAAAGAAAACAACTGTCAATCTAGAATTCTATGTTCAGTAATAATATCCTTCAAGATTGAAGGGATAATCAAGATCATCTCAGATGAAGGAGAACTAAGAATTTATCAGTGGATCCACTCTGAAAGAATGATGAAATAAGTTCTTAGAAAAGACAAAAAAATTGAACCTTGGAAAATAAGGAAAGAATGATCTCAGTAAGCACAAACATCTATAAATATGGTAGATTTTCCCTTTCCTTTTAAGGTTTATTAATTATGTTGGATGAGTGAAAAAAAATTGTAAGATCTAATGTAATCTCAATGTATATAGAGGAAATATGACATTTTTCATATAGTGGAGTGTAAAGGAATGTAAGAGGGAGGGAATATTTCTATTTATATAAGGACAGATAAAGACATAGCAGAAGTAGAGATAAGAAGAGAACAAAATAAGAGGTCAACAGTAACTGAAGAAAGAAATTAATATTTGTTGAGCACCTACTAATTTATAACCTCTTGGCTTTCTTAATATTTACTCTTCCCAATGGTAATCTATAGTTGGAATTACTATACACATTTTTCAGATAAGGACACAGATTCAGACAGGTTAGACAACTTATCCATGATGACAAAGCTAGGAAAAAAATAATACACCTTCCTGTTCACATGTATTTCAGTACATGTGTACATGTATTTCGATATCACCAAGTGCCCCTACAAATGTTGATGATATGATTGACCATTATTCATAGTTTTTTGACTACTCTAAATTATAATTGTTATCATAAAGATCTTAAAATTATATTACAAGTAGAGTTACAAATTTAATGTTCTTGGGGCTGAAGTAGCAATGATGATAGCATCATCACCTCATGAAGCCAAGCTAATGGCCTACACACACCTGGAGTGAGGCCTAGAAACATACATTCATACCCAGCTCTCACAAACATCACCAGTAAGATTTGCAGTGGGAAAAGACCCAGGTTTGGATTCTCATCATAGCCCATTCCCTCCTGACTTTGAACATGTGTCCAGCCCAACCCCAAGCACACTTCAACATTGTGCTTCAGACCTCAGCCTCCAAATCCCACTCTATTTCTTTGTTGTATTCTGTGGGCTTTAAAGTGGTGGTGAAGCAACATGTTGGTTTGTGGAAGAACAGAGAAAATAATGGGAAAAAGAAGTTAGGGAGTTAGAAAACAGGGGAAAGGGAGGAGAGCAATAATGGAACCAAGAAAGTAAATATAGCCACGGTAACAAGAAAATTACCAACAAATATAAGAAGTTGTCGTAACTCAGGGAAGGGTTGATTTCAGTGTGTATAGGGGGTCTTTTTTATTAGTACATGTTTGCAGTTCATGTACTTTACAATTGTCTTGGAGAGTGGTTATATATATATG